TCAGGGTTGTGAGATTAAGCCCCTCCCTCGCTCCATCCCCACCCTTAAAAACAAAAGGAAAGAAAGGATGTACCCAAGAAACCAGGACTCAGCTCTGTTTTTCCAAATGAGAAAACTGAGCTTGGCCAGGAAGGAGCAAGCTCAAGGGCTGAAACTAAGTCAGGCAGAGGGAAATGTTGTTGAGTGGTACAGGGAGGGTTCCTTTGGTCTCAGCTGCTTGTCACTGTGCGTGGGGTTAGAGTGAAGCAAAGCAATGGGGCTTGTGTTAGAAGTTGACTTGCTTTTGCTTATCTCCTCACTGCACCTTAACTGTCGTCTCTGAAGGGCAGGAATGGGGTGGGAGAATGGGAGTGGACATCCTGCTCTGGGTGTCTGTGCCAGGTTCACCAAGTGTTCAGCCCATCTGTTTGAACTGAGGCAGGAAGACCTCCCTGAGGAAATGGAGGAGGTGCTCCATTTGCCTGCCCTCTTTGAGATTGGCCAGGGGCCCATCGGGTGTGAAATGGGGCCCACCACACTGTCACAGCTCAGTGGGTCTGTTGTGTGGATGTTGGGGGGCCAGCTCTCCATCCACTGACGCTTTGCCTAGTGTCTGTTGGCGAGATGGAGGCAAGACTCTTCAGTGTCTGGGGAGGAGTGGGAGGCAGGGACTGGGTGGGCCTGGGTCCTCCATCTCTAGCTGCCTAGTTCAAGTGAATGGAGGTTCATCATGAGCTTCCCCAAATATTCCTTTCAATAGTTCTGGGAGGCAGGTGAGACAGAATAAGTACATCCATGTCCTAGCTTGGGGTTGCAGGAGGTGGTGTCAGAGAGACTAAGTGATCCCTAAAGCTCCTGTGACTTGTGCCTGGCTCAGCCAGTACTCCAGCATTCCTCACAGCCAGTCCAGGTCTCCTAGCCCAGCACAGAGCTCCCCCTTTCGGGGTACTCCGGAGTGTGGGGGTGGGCACAGCCATAGTGGTCTCCTAGGCTGTGGGCTGAGAGGTGGTCTTTATGCTCCTCCTAGGACACAGCTCTGTCCCCCACTCCCACTTAGCAGTGCACAGTGGGGTGCCTGTTGCTCCTCACCTTTTCAAGCCCCGCCCACTACCAGATTCCTGCTTCCTACATCAGCCACAAATACCCCTGCCATGGCATGGCTTCTGAGACTTTTTTTTTAATGAACTGTAACTATTTCATGTTGTGGGGATCGGATCCATAGTCCCCTTTCATGAAGCTGGGTGGGGACCCCCAAACCTTTAAAGAGCAGGCCTTTATCCTCCCAGGCTTGACTGGTGGGCTCTCAATGTGGTATGCGGGAATGTGTGTGCAAGTGTGAGGACATCTGTGGTCATGTGCTGTGCAGGGCCGGTCCAAGTCCATTTTCCCCTCATGGTTCCTACCCCCCACCCCCACTTCTTTCTTCTCAGCTGAGTTCCATGGAATTATTTGCTGCTGCTCCTTTAGCTCCATGGAAAAAGAAGAGTGGAAGCACCTGTTTCATTACCTGCAGCCATTCCCTAGTGGGGCTCTGGATCTGCCTGCAACAGCCTGAAGAATCCCCATTCCTAGGCAGGGAGAGGTGTGGGGGCCATTATGAGTCCAGGTAGGCACTTACTGGGACCCAAATGTCTTGAGGTATGGCTCAGTAACAGCATCTGGAGTTTTTCTCTGCCACCTCCTAGAGGAGAGAGCTGATTGGCCTTGGAAAAAAGCTGAGCTGTCCAACACCTTCAGTGCCATCCCATCACCTGCCACCACCCTTTATAGCACACCCTCACACCCACTGTCTTCATTTTGCCTGCTAGTGGTTATGCGCTAGCCTCATTTCACAGATGAAGAAACTGATGGTTGGAGTGGCACAATAACTTCCCCTTGGTGACACAGCCAGCAAGTGGTAGAACTGGGAGTAGTACCCAACTTGCCTACTTCCTGATCCAGGGCTTTTTTCCCCATGGCTCAGTGTGTCTGTCACCACATCTAACAGTTAGGAGCACTTATCGTGAGTTAGCCACCATCCTAAGTGCAATTTAGCCTAGTGGATCCACTTAACAGCCATATAAAGGTCAGGGCTGTGATTATCATTCACGGTTCACGGGTGAGGAAACCGAGTCACAGAAAGTTGCAAAATAACTTGCCCAATGTCACACGACTAGTAAGTAGCAGAGTTGGGCTTTGTACATATGCCCTCTAACTTCAGAATCCATCATACTGCTCTTTGTATGACACAACTGGGCTTTGTTAGTGGCAGACAGAGGGAAGCCCCATGTCTAGGGCATAGAGATGCACACATGCACCCCAAGGCTTTTCCACCTGTCCTCAGACCACCCTCATGCACTCTACATTATCCTGCTTAGTGGCTGAACTGGCATCCATGGTAGTAGCAGCCGCAACAGCACTGTAGGACACACAGGCAATAATGGGGCCTGTGGGAAAAGGGACACCCAGGATCTAAAGGCTTCAGTTATTACCAGAGCCACTCAGGATGCAACCCAGAAAGGAGATTGTGTAAAGTTACCTTTGCCTCATTTGTTCCAGGAACCCTTACTATAGATCTGTTTCATGCAAGACCCTGGCTTAGGTCAGGGCCTGCAGCTAGATCAGGGAGCAAGGATTAAAGGGAATGAGCTATCTCCTTCTAAAGAGGCTGAGTTCTTGCTTTTCTGAAGTTCACGGGATAAGAGATGGAGATCAAGAAAGACCAAAAGAAATAGCCTAGACATTGCTTGGGCCATTTTATTTTATTTTATTTGGCCCATTTTGAAATGTCACAAGGTGGGGATCCCTGGGTGGCTCAGCGGTTTAGCTCCACCTTTAGCCTGGGGTGTGATCCTGGAGACCGGGGATCGAGTCCCACGTCAGGCTCCATGCATGGATGGGACTGCTTCTCCCTCTGCCTGTGCCTCTGCCATTCTCTCTGTGTGTCTCTCATGAATAAATAAATACAATCTTTAAAAAAAATAAAATGTCACAATGTGCATGGCATATATTAGGATTGTTGCTTTCCCTGACTATTGTGCTCACTTAGTCCTTCAAAAGATGTTTTTATTGAGTACCTACTCTATGCCAGGCATTGTGAAGTTCTTGTTCTACTCATTTATAGCAATTGCTCTTTTGTAGGTTTTGTATTTTCTATAGTTTTTTCTTTTTTAGTTTTCTGGTTTGATTATTGTTTATTTTTTAAAGAACTGAGTGTCTCAGAATCCATCATCTCTGAGTCAGTTAAATATATCTACTAAAAGGCTAGCGGGGTTTGGCCGTTATTTATATGATTGCAATTTCTTCATGGTTGTCCCTTGAATATCTTTAAACAGTACTGAGAAACTACTGTAGGCACTGTTCTTGGCACGATGAAGTGGATGGAATTGGCTGACACGGTTTCTTTTTTTTTCCTTTCCTTTTTTTTTATTCATGAGAGACAGAGAAAGGCAGAGACACAGGCAGACAGAGGAGAAGCAGGCTCCATCCAAGGAGCCCGATGTGGGACTCGATCCCAGAACTCCAGGATCATGCCCTGAGCTGAAGGCAGATGCTCAACCACTGAGCCACTCAGGGGCCCCTCTGACATGGTTTCTTTCCCTTAGGGAAGCTGTAAGGATCCTACAGGAACTGTGCTTTTAGGGTTTTCCAAAAGCAAGGTAAATTTGGCTCCAACTCAGGACCTTGGGGATGCTTACAAATATGACAGCCTAGCCTCAGGAAGGAGGTCGTCTACCTTCCCACCTGTTACAGGGGTTCCTGACTCTGGGTAGGATTTTGTTTCCAGAAGGGAGTTCTGGAGTATAGGTCTCATCTACACCCAAGACCCATAGGGACATGGCTCATCTTGAATGAAATGCCAACTCCAATCTTGCCATTGAGAGAAAAGGGGGGAGGGTGCACACTGGAGCTAGCCTTGCTTCATCATTTCTCCTCTGATTCTCATCAGGGCCAGCAAGGAAGGAAGACCAGAAGGAGGGTGGCACCTGGGACTATGTCTGTCTTTGCCATTGCCTGGGTGACCTTAACAAAGCTGTTGTCCTAATAAACATGAAGTCTTGCTCTCGTCTGTGTTGTGTGCTCTAGCAAACAAATGAGGTGGATGTAGGCCCTGCTTTCTAGGAACTTCAGCTTCCTAACCGATGTGCAGGTATGATCCCTACCATGGATCTGGTGGGTTCACTTGAGAGAGTCATCTCAGTTTCTGTATTTGTAAATGTGGAGGATGGTGAATGGATGGCATGTTGTCTGTAGTACTCCCAGTCCTGGCTAATAGGAGGTCCTCAATTCAACAATGAAGTCATCATGGTTTTGAACTTGTATTGGGACCCTTGTGAAGAAAGGCAAGAGAGAAATCAAATCTTAACACTCTATTATTGAATATAAACCAGCTTTCTGATGGTATTTGCTGTCACACTCTTGGGAGCCCTCGCCTGTCATGATGGATGCCCCAAGTTTTCCTGGCATTTCTCTGCGGAGGTAGAGTTTAGATTTGAGGTAGAGAGCTGGGGGTAGTGGGAAAGTTGCAGAATGCTGGGGCCTGTGCAAAGTGGGAGTGGCAACTTCCTGCTCAAATATTTAATGTCCAAGATTGTCTCTTGGCTGTCCCTACTAATCAGAGATCTCACTTAAGTTGTCTTCTGAACTTCCCATAAATTATCCTCAGCAAGCCACTAAACCTTCACGTGCACATAGCACATGTATTTAAATCCCCCATACAGTGCGAGGCACATTCAGAGTCCAATGAATAATAGTCTGTGCGTGTGGCCAGCTCGCTCCTTCACCCACGGTCGCTAGTTCTGGCTGTGACTTCTCCCCGCCTACCCCCTCCCCACCAGCGGTGTGACCTGAGCAAGAGGCAGCAGCGCGGATATCGGAGGAGCTGGACGGCAGAGCCCCGCCCACCACGATCTGGGCCGCTTTCTGGGAAGTCCGGTGGGCCGGACTGTGCCCTCATTGGTCGAGGGGCCTGTAGGTGGGCGGGGCGTCCCTAGCGCCCGACTCGCCACAGTTTCCTCCCCACCTGTGCGGAAAGTGGCCTCTGGTTGACAACAGCTAAGCAGCCTCGCGGCAGCTGCCCTTCTGACTGGCACCATTACCCTCGCCAGACCCCAGGCTCTGATCGTGTCCCGGACGGAGCAGTCCTTCCTGCACTCACTTCCTGCCCACTGGCCGCTGTGTCAGGGTCTCGAACCCAAAGTGGTGGACGGGGCCTCCAGGTAGGAGTTGGGGCGGCGTCAGGGAGAAATCCCGACCAACAGGGCAGGGCCTCTTGGGGCCCCTTGCCGGGCCTAGTCTCCGGCGCTCTCCAGCCCCCCCTCCCCCTGCTCTTAGCGGTTGGGCCAGGCAGCGCACGCAGGAGACGCAGAAGAAACCAGCCGAGCCACCTTTGCCCCCAGGATTTGGGGTCAGAGTCGCCGAAACTGGGGGCCTCCTTGAGCCTGCTGGCAGCGCTTCTCCCCAAGGAAGCCCCGCGAGGAAGGTGGTAGAAGGCTTTCGGCCCATTATCCGGGGCCTGCAGGAGTCCAGAGCCATAGCTCTGGGGCTTTGGAGGGGGACTGGAACTGGGCAGGGATGGCGGCCCTTTGGGCTCTGAGCCACCTTGCCTACCCTCTTCCTTCCTCTGCTTTTGAGGGCATTTCCAGGAATCCCCGGCGGGCCGTATGGGCTTTCCCCTTGGCCATTGTCCTCCCTTCTGGGAACCGCTGCAGACTTCCCTGGTGTTAAGGTGGCTGTGGGGATCAAGCGAAAACCTTTGAATAAGTCGCATCTTTCAGGGCTTAGTCTCCCCATGAAGTCCCAATTGGGTTTGGATTACTGAAGCTCCTTTTAGTGGCAGCTTTTGGGATTTCCAAATTATGTAGCCTGGGGTTCTCTCCATTTCTCTTCTCCTAAGTCTCTTTAAAGTGGAGCACTGAATTAGGACTCAGGAAACTGGGGTTCAATCATTAATTCATGTGACCTTGGGTGAGTCACGCTACTTCTGTGGGCCATAGTGTTTTCAACTGCACTTGTGCACATTCAGCCACACTCAAGTTCAGATGGTGGGCTGGATTTCAGTATCTAAAGGGCCAGTCTCTTCCATGATATTTTGACTTGACCCACAGGTCCAGGCTCCTAACCCATGGGGAAAAGGTTGTCTTTGAGATGCCTGGGGAGACAGGACCTATGCAGATGGAAAGCTTTGTGGTGATTATGTAGCCAAACCAGCTGGAAAACTAGTAGTGGTGGGAAGGGCAAGCAGGACAACAGCCAGACTGAAGGTGGGAAGGAGTGGGGCCAACTCAGAGCCTGGGACTCCAGAGGTTGGGCTGGAGAAGCCTGGCTGCTCTGTGTCCCACTTGGAGTGCTGAGGTCTGCCTACCTAGGAGAAGAGGGTGATGAATCATACCCAGGGCTATTTTCAAACCCTAACTCCTAGTGTGGGAGCTGTTCCTGCCCCCACTCTAAGGGTTCCTGTCTCCAGCTACATCTTTTCTTCTTGCTCTCTGAATTTTCCCCCTCACTTCCATCTGCCTGGAATAAAGGATAGACGATTTCTATCTGGGGGATAGGAAGGCTGACAGCCCGAGGGCATAGAGGAAGAGGCACCTCTGCAGGTGGTTTATGAATGGTTGATGGAGCAAATGGGTAAGAGTGTGATGGGAACGATGGTGTTGGGGGCTTGGGGGTTCTTTCACCCTAAAGCTATAGCTGCCATAGCACTGGACATTCTGGGCTTGGTCCTCATTTCTGGGATTTGACCTTTGTCCAGTTTTGTTGTGGATTTGGGGTTTGAAATTTCTGCTCCCTGGACCTCTGTAATTAGGGCTAGGAAACACCACATGGACAAAATCCCATTTCCCCTCTTCTTCCCTGGCCTTCTGTCCACCTCTTAAGCAACTCTTAGAGAAGTATGCTAAGCCTCACTGTGCATCTGCAGCTCCCCTCCCCCATCTGGAGAGGAGACAAGGTTGAGAGATTGGTGTTTAGAGCAAGAAGAGGGGCAGAAGGTGAACCAAGAGGGGCTGTGTGTCTTGTGCAAGTGCTGGGGAGTGGGGCATGAGCTGTGCAGGGTGGTTGGAGGGGCCTTCCCTAATAAAGCACACCTCCTGAGTTTGAGTTTAGGAGCAAAGAAAGTGCCACAAGGAGGCCTGAACTTTGACCCTCTCTGCCTTCTTGAAGCTTTGAAATTCTGTTCTTAAGACTAGGAATTGGAGAAGGAGCAGAGGGGACCGCTGGAGACAGCTACAGGAATACCCTGCAGCAACACAAAAGCAAGAAGGCTCCAGAGGAAGGAGAGGTTGGAGTCTCTAATCTGGATGCTGTCGCAGCTGCTGGTACTTTTCTGCTAGGACACTCTTGGAGTTCTCTGTTCCAGCCACAGGAAGTTCAGGGTCAGTGGATGGCAGTTTTAGTCAAAGCATAAAGCTTCTCTTTTTTGGAGAAGGTGGGGCAAGGGGTCTTTAGCTGGAAGAAGGGACTACCTCAGGCTTGAATAAAACAGAGAGAAGGTTTGGGTTTCAAGTTTGGGTAAGATTAAGTGTCTTGGCCCTGAACCATGGGCCTTTGGGAGGCTATTATCAGATAAATAGAGATAAGAGATCTCAAAATCTGAGGGATCTAGGATGGGAAGTGTGAGCTCCCCCATCCTACATCCCTGAACAAAATAGTTGAGCACAAGCTAGGCATACAGTTGTTGGCATCAAGTGTTCATTAAGGCTCTTTTCCTCTGTGACCCATGGTCTTGGTTTTTGTGTACATGAGTAGGGGGTGAGTAATTGAATTAATCTGTTACAGGTTTGAAATGCTGTGTTGTGTGCTCAGTCTCCTCTTGCCCAGCCCTCCACCTTGGGAACTCACATGTCACTGGTTGCTGTCCCTGTTTACCCTGACCCTCAGGGTACTGATACAGCTAACTGGATGTTAAGTTCCTCAGGAGTGCAGGGTGATATGGGGCAAAGCACAGGGGACTGGAAGCTGGACATATGGGAGGCTTAAATCCAGGCTCCGTTGCTCCCCTTGTGACCACTCTGACTCTTGGTTTCTCCCCACTGTTTCCACCTTCCTGGATTGGATGAGGGGATCTATGGCTAATGCTTTGTACATTACCAAGTACTGTACAGATTGTCATTAAATTCAGGCCTGCCAGGTCTTATGGAGGATGTAGAGTGTAACCTCCACCTTCAGGGAGGCTATCATCAAGTATGGGGGTTCGTGGTACGAATAATGCGTGGCATACTAAGTCTTCACCTCAGCCAGCACTTTTTAAAAAAATGACTATGAAGCCTTTCAAACATATAGAAAAGTAGAGACAATTAGTGTAATAAGGCCCCACGTACTCATCACCCAACTTCAACAGCTGTTAGCTGTTGCCCAGCAGGTGGTCTGTCCTGCCAATTAACACCTCCATCTACTTCACCTTTCTTTGTTATTTTGAAACACATCCCCAGGGCAGTTTGTCAATGTATCTCTAAGTAGTTTGATGTATATCTCTAAAAGATAAGAATTTGTAAAAAATAAAAAAATAAAAAAAACCATTGTACCATTAGTCCATCTAGAACAGCCCCTTAATATCATCGAATATCCTGACAGTGTTCATAGTTCTAATCATCCTTGTCATTTTCGTTGAGGGGGCTGTTTGCCCCTGGGAGGCCTGACTAGGCAGCCATTGCTTTTGACTGAAGGGAAGGTGACTGATGGAGGGGAGGCAGTGAGTGACATTTGAGTTGAACCTTTGAAGAGAGGCCCAGGCAAAGTCAGAGCTGGATTAGGGAGCCCTAGCCCTTTATATTACAGCATTAGTCACGGTCCCCTGGACTGCAGCTCCCAGAGCTGAGGAAGCTGTGACTTGTAGAAGCTTCTTGTGGAGACTCCGTGCCTTGCTTCTCTAGCAGTAAAAGGGGTGAACTCTCCCACTTGCCTGCCCAGTCCCAGGGCCACCCAGGAGCTCGAGGTCAGCTGTCCCAAGAGAATCCCTGGGAGCCTCCTCTCCTCCTGGCCTCTCCCCTAACCACCCGCCCCCCTAGCCACTTTGGAGCAAAACAGGATGCATTCAGGATGAGCGTCTTTCCCAGCTTGTCATCTAATCACGGAGGCCCAGCTTGGAGCTTCCTCTCTCATGATAAAAACCCTCACTGTCTCCCTTTCCCCTCCACCTCAGTAAGGGTGTGCTGACTTCCTCCACATCGGGGCCAGCCCTCCTCCACCACCATGTGGAGCTGGGGGAGAGCTTCCCTCATCCATGCCTCTCTTCTCACTGCCCGAGCAGGCTGTGAGAGGGACGGAAAGGCCCCATGAGTGCTCTCCCTGGCTACAGCCTCCTGCTCTTGGCCTGTCCTTGGGAAAGGAGTGGTTCCTTTCCAACAAGCCTAGGATTCTGCCACTGCTTGGTTAATGATTGAGCCACATAATTACCACCTTGAAAAGTCACCTCTGGGAATGGCCATTAACTAACTCCCTGTCTACTTAAGGACATCGCATCTTAAACCTCACCCCGCCCCCCCCGGGGATGTTAACAAGTATTCCTTCATCTGAACTTCTGGGGCCAATTACACATCTGCCCCCTGTGTCTTGGTTTGGGCAAGCAGAAGCTGCTATTCACATTGCCAAAGGACATGCATTCACCTGGGTGGCTATTGAGAGGGTCAGGGAGTTGAGTTGCTAGGGATTCAGATGGGCAGTGGGGTCAGGGGGATCTTTAGGCACCAGAGTCAGAAGGGGCTGGGGGTGTTTCCAGGAACCCTTGACCCTCTAAGGTCAATTTGAAAGAGCGAGAAATACCCACCCAAAGGATCTGCTATTAGTGGGGCTGTGTGTGTGTGTGTGTGTGTGTGTTTTCTGTACAGCTGCCTTTCACATCAGGCAGGGACATGAGCTATCAGCCACACTGCTGCTGCTGCTGTAAGGCTAATGCCTCCATTGTGGAGGAGAAGGAGACCTTTTTCCAAGAGCCTGTATCTTGACAAGCAGTAGTAATTGGGAAGGGTCAGGCCAGGTCCAATTTGGAAAGCTCTGGACCCCAAGCAGTTTTCTGAAGTTTCAGTGAGAAGCAGCAGCATTTAGTGAACCATGTGGGCCTAATATAGAGTCAGGAGACCTGGCTTCTTCTTGTGCCTCTCTGTAGCTGCCTCTACACGAGTGACTGTAGAGAAGACATTTCCTTCCTCTGGACCTCAGTTTCCACATCTTTAAAACTGGCAGGGAAGGTGGCAGGGCTCAGTGGTCCCTTGGGTTCCAT